AGCCAAGACGTACGTAATTCAACAAGCCCTTTGTACGTACGCTTTGCATATTGGGATTTAGTGGGGATGTTCTATTAGCGAAGCCACAAAGAGCAAATATTGAATACTGGATTAATCCTATCGATGTTTGTTTGGGTGATGGTAGCTAAATTTCATGAGCAATGTAAATAGGATTATTTTTGTTCTTAGCGTTTATTGGATCAGCATTTAGGTTATCTACGAGAGGAAGTCTACGGAAATTAACAAGATATCTCCGATAACTAATACAAATTAGGATTTAACATATAATTATACAAAATGTTAAGATTCGTATATGATTGTAAATTTGATTCAAAATTTAAACTTTCATATCCTTCTTTTTAGAGTGCCGTCTTCCTAAGGAGGTTGGCAATCATACTTAATCTTTCTTCTTTCTTTATCATTCTTCAACCATGAGTTCTGCCTTCGGCCAACAGATCATCTTCCTTAAATCTTTTCCTGTATTTAGAGTCTCAAAATTTCAAATTTTTTGTTCCCCTCATTCTATTGTCCAAGTCTCAGCTGCATATAACAATATTGAAAATATATAACAGCGAATGGTACGTAGTCTAATCTCCAAATTTAGATTTTTGCCCGTTAGGCGTGGCTTCATTTGTATAAATGCTGATGATATGATGAAACCTACTTCGTATTAATGATTAGTTTTGTCTCCTTCAGTGTAATAAATATTGTGGTTAGATATTGCTATTTTTCACTTCCTGACCATTGTACGTCGCTTCTTCTTCTTCATGTGCCATATCCTCTAAGAAAGTTGGCAACTATCATGGTAATTCGCACTTTTGACGCCGCTGTTCTAAAGAGCACAGCAGAAGTACAGTTAAACCAAGCTCTCAAATTATTCAATCAGGAGATGCGTCTTCTTCCGCGACTCCTTCTACATTGCTACCCCCCAATTATATCTATATTTAGCTACTCTTTCTCTTTAATAACATTATTTCGTTTTCCAGGCTGATACATACTTCTTATCCACTTAGAATGTGTTAGTTGTTGCTCTAGAAACCTGAGTCTTCTAACATTACTATCACAAATTAGTCGCATTGCTCCTAAATTGATCCCTTCCCAAGTTATTATGCTCCTTTTCCAACTTGGCTGCACCGTACTGAAGACGACCAATAGTCTGAAATTCGTATATTTGATTGTCTTCCATCTCATTTTCATATTTTATTATTTTTTTTTTGGTCCGAGCTATGCCGATAACCTTTACCTTTATTTTATTATCAACTCGCATTAACCTTTTTTTGTCGTTTGAAACGTTCTAAACGTTTAGCATTCCAAATAGGTAAAGAAATAATAAATAAGACTTACTCACAATCAATTTAATTTAACTATCAGACGACCGGTTTCGCTTTCTACAATATGCAAAGCATCCTCAGGTCTCGATACAAAGTTAAACAAATGATGCCGGTACTCTATTAATAGATGGATGGTAGAACATGTTTGAAACTACTTTATATTGTTGAATGGAGAACTCAATACTATTATTGCAGTTGTTTGACAGTAAACGGGAAGTTCTTGAGGAGATAGATTTGATCCAATGAATTTGAGATATGTGTGAGATTGTTTGTTAAATGTAAGTGATGTAATATACTATTGTGTTATTAAAGGCTATTTATACTTATTCCAGAGATATATTTTTGAAATGTGTGTTTTTTATTGAGTAATTGTTTTATGAAGGTGACAGTTTTATGACAATGAATAAGTGTAGATGTAAAAATTGTATGGGTGTGCAATTATTTTCCAACTTGTAGTTATCAAATTACTTTGATAAAGTTCTATTGGCAATGAGTTAATTATTGGAATAGTCAAGTGAATAAAATGGTAAAATACAAACAATTAAGGATAATTTAAACACACTAAAACAGAAAACACTTAGAAGGGACGAAACAAACATTGAATTTAAAAGGGGGAAGGACTTTAATGCACTACATCATAGTCTTGGGCACAATGAGTTTTTTTATTGTTGTATCTATTAGATTTTTAGCATTCCTTTTCTCAGGTAGCTTAGCTTCCTAAGTGGATGTGTTAGTTGTTGCTCAGAAACCTTTAGAATCTCTCACAGCTCCTTCCCTCTCAGAACCAATTTGATCTCCTTCGATTATCGACAACTTATTCACACATTACTAATATGATATAATATTATTTGACCCAAAATTCTCAAATTGAAATTAATTATGAAAGTTTCACCCGTTGAAACGCTTTCATATGCAACATAAACTATCAGTTCTCAACAGCCTCCTATGTAATTGGCAATATTAAACAAGATATTGCAATTCAATGTCTTCAATGCTCTTCTTCGAATGCACGTACCTTTCCAATGATGCCGGTCTCTTTTCCTCTCGCCAAACTTAATCTCTTGTTCCGAAATAAATAGTGATACGTAGATTACAAGTAGAAAAAATTAAATTACCAATTTGTACCAGATCAGCTACCGTCGGACACACTTACTTCATCAACTCACAACTTATTCTTTATCACTTCCTACCCCTAGAGACCACCTCGAAAACAAACCATTCACTTTAAGAAAATGGAACTGACTAACTTCTCTCATCTGATCTATCCATACATCCAACCGCTCAATATACACACACACACACACACACATCTCACCACTTTCCAAATTCTCGGTCAATCAGAAATTTGCATACCACTCCCCACATAAAATCAGAAATACCTACAAACTTTCCTAATTCATATTATTTCTACAAAGACACTTAATTTCTACTGAGTATTTACAGATTCCGAAAAACCATTTACTTATTAACAATTTTTATTGTCCTGTTCATGGCACAAACTCGGATTACGGAACACTTTATGGCTTATGAGAAAAAAAAACATCGATAACTTCTATTCATTGTACCCGCACTATCCACTTGTTATATTTTTATACAAAAAAATATTTATGACTAAGATTACCTTTGGTTAATTCTAAGCAGTTTGGAGTATTTTTTTTCTATAATCTCTGAAATATTGATTTATCATACATTTAATATCTTTACTCTTCAATTTTGAATACATGTGTGTATATAATTGTTTTTATTCTTGTAAAGAAATTTTAACAGTATGCACTAAATTCATTTCAGAGTGAGCACTCTATCTTCCAATGTAAATCAGACTTTTGCATTGCATCGGGCTGCAAAAAATGTCGTGCGGGTGTTAGAAATTCTCGTCGTTAATCAAGTCAAAATTAAAACGAAAAGTAAGTGAACGAGTAAGCGTCCTCGTCCCTTCCTTGAGAAAAATACCCCAACATTTATCTATGTTTTCGCTGAGATAACTTTTTCTTGAGAAGAAAAATGCACCTGAGGCGGCTGCTTTCGCGAAGGTTGCTATTTGTAATACTTACGAAAAGGATGTCAGTGTGGGGTGTGAAGTTCGTGATAATCTTGTTTTAGGAAAATACAGTATTTTTTTCATTAAATTTGATTTATGAGTGATATTAATATAGACGGGCTTAATTATTCATAAATATTGTCTCTAAATTTTCAGTCATTCGAATATTTAATATGTAGAATTTTATTTTTATTTTTTATTTGTACTTCTTTAGGAGAAAAGTCCATTATTGACTATGTATTGGTAAAGAGACCCTTAAGACAATGTATCAAAGATGTCAGAGTCAGAAGGGGAGCATAAATATATAGCGACCATTATCTGGTAGTATCCCGAACTAGTATCGTTGTGGAACAAAAACGCACGTAGAAGGTACCAAGAAAAAGAGACAGAACCCCAAGAAACCTTACCAACGCAGTTATTAGGTCATACAAGTTAGCAGATAAGAAAATAGCACAGAAATACAAAAGCTATGTGAACAATAGTCTACAAAAGCACTTACACCACAACTATGGCTTAGAAGAAACTTGGCAAAAACTTAAAGAATCTCTCCTAGATGGGGGCAAGCAAATCTGCGGAATAGCTAAAATCAATAAAAACAGACCATGTACGAATTGGTGAAGTAATAAAATAAAAGAAGAGGGCAAATCCAACAAGTTAGCGTGGAAGAGATATCTAGGGAACCAGAATGCAGAAAGCTATTAAAAATATAAGCAACAGAGGGCAAAAGTAAAAGACATGGTGATTAAAGCAAAAAAGAAGAGCTGGAAGTATTTTGGGAAAAACAACAATGTCATGTTTAGATTTATATCAACAAGAATGTAATAACTTAAAATATAGCTATGGATATTACAAATCTGATTCAGCAATAACGTGGAAACTCGAAATGATGAGCAAAGCAACACGTGCGTTCCCGATCACTATTGGTCGCAACTAAAGATAACGCGATATTGTGAGGGGGTGACAACAGTCAGTCAGTCATGAATAACGTCTTATGGCGCCATCTCTTATTCATTTTTTGCACTATTAAAACGACAGTTTTATTGACTGATAGAGAATTGAATTTTACGTGTGAATATAGTGTTATGTCAATTTCGAAACATTTTAAGTTGAGACACTATTGTATTATTAGTGCGATTAATTAGGTTACTGGTGACTTTTAGTAGTAACTTTAGCATGTGACACATCAAGCGATAATCGCTGCATTTTCTTGTGTTTTTTTTGTGGAGACAAATAAAAATTGACGTTAACCACACTTTGGATAATACGCCTGAACTATAAATGTGGTTCAAGATTGTCACTAAAACATCAATGTGCTTCTCATCCAGAATTTTTAAGATTTCTATAGAAAGAACGTCAGGTGCAGAGCTTTTCCCATCTTATGAAAACTTACAAATTATTGCATGCTGATTATATAGTGTTAGTAAGAAACTGTAAAAGCGATTTAGAACACAAACTGAAACATTAGAGAAAAGCTACACCTTAACCAAAAATTGGATTATAAAAGCAATAGCAAAGCTATAATCCACAGGCATTATAACTATTAATGATTAAATTAATAAATTTTTAATATATGGTATTTTAATTGCTTATACTATCACAGATTTTATTCAAATAAAAATAAAACACTTTACCTTAGCTGGATCCGTTGCTAACAATTGCTGTAACTGACTCTTGCCACTACTTGGTGTCACAGATGTCGTAGTTGAAGTTGTGCTTGTAGTTGGAGGTGGAGCGTATTGAATGCAACTGGATCCATGAGGTGAAGCAGCGTCACCAGAAGCAGCTCCTTGTGCGGGTGATAAAGTTGTACTTGTAGTATTGACAGTTGTCGTTGATGATGAGCTATGATGGTTTTCTGTATGCCTTCGTAAGGATCTAGCGTCGCAATAGCTCTTACCACAACCTTCCGCCTTACACTCGTATGGCTTTTTGTTTCGATGCGTAAGCATATGTCCATTGCTGTAAACAATATACTTTTATTAGGTACATTAAAAAAATTTGTGGTTTTAATAGTACCAATATTGGAAACTACTACTACTTTTTGAAATTGGAAAGAAACATCTATATGACGCAATGGATAAGAATAATGTTAACAGTTTTACATAACACGGGATTAGTTTTTGATATCGCAATACCTCTATAAGCTACCACTTCAAGAAATCACTGCGTATAATGTCCGATTTTAAGTTCCTGTTCATTAGAAATGCAAAGTTCGGTTCTTTTATATCTCTTTATACCAACAATTATCTTAAACTGTAACAATCTAATTTCTCTCGGGGGAACAATAATTTCTCTCGGGGGAACCTGTAACCCTAGAGAGCGCGTCCCCAGGTGGCGGATAGGGGAATGCCCTCACCGGCCTTTTTGCAGCTAGGCCGGCGGGTAGGTGGGAAATAAAATACCACCCACGGACCAACAGGTGGGGTAGATAGGACTCCTAAGCCGTAGAGAAGGCAACTTATCTAAGAGAAGGATACTCTGATTTAAAACCCTGGTCCTCCAAGTTGGGGGTTGAGGCATCGGGCCAACTCCTCGATACTCGGAAAAAATGATCAAAGTTAAAAATTTCAGCAAAAAGCCTTGGAATTCGGACGGATTAAACTATAAACGAAATTCGCAAAGAAAATGGATTATGAATTTGGGTGCTTGGAACATACAAGGAATAAGGACAAAACAGGAGGAGGTCTTCCGTGAACTGAGTAAAATGAAACTAGACATCTGTGTATTAACTGAAGTAAAGAAAAAAGGAAGAGGAAATGAAAAGATAAACGAATACCTGCATTTCTATAGTGGCGTAGAAAAGAGCGAACGAGCTAAAAGAGGAGTGTCTATAGCAATACATCAGAAACTGAAAAAATGTATTAAATCATGGCAAGAAATAGATGAAAGAATTATCCTCATATAAATTAAGAAAAATGGCCATGAAATAGTGGTAATTGGAACATATGCACCGACGGATGACTCAAGGGTTGACAGCAAGGAAGAGTACTTTAACAAGTTAACAACTGTTCTAGCCACAATTAATAAGAAGAAAGAAATTTGGATCTTAGGTGATCTTAATGCAAGAACCGGAAAGAGCTCCAACAGTGAAATAATAGGGAGATATGGAGAAGACATTCTGAACGACAATGGTCAAAGATTAATAGATTTTTGCGAGGCACATTCTTTGAAAATATTAAATGGTTTCTTCCCCCATAAGAATATACATAAATTTACATGGACGCAGCCTACCAGGAATTTAAAATCAATAATTGACTATTTCATTCATCGTAAAGATTCTAAACTAAAAACGAAGGACGTGAAGGTATTTAGAGGGCCAGAATGTGGAAGTGACCACCATATGATTACTGCAAAAATAATGGTGACATTTAAGAGAGAACAATCAAGTCACAAAAATGAGGAAGTAACAGACATAGGAACAACCATAGAAAACATAAAATATAACCTGGAAAGCTTTAAACAAGATTCGACAAAGTTCTTATATAAAATTAGAATAGCTCAGAAAATAAAAAATATAGAAACAAAGGACTTAGACCCCGAAAGTCTCTATGAGGTAACTAAAATATATTCATGAAGCGGCAAATGAAGCACTGGGAAAAGTTGAAAATCGGAAAAAAGGAAAACCTGAATGGTTGTCAACGGAACTAGAAGAGAAAGTTCTCAAGAAAAAACAAGCATATCACATATGGCTTCAATCCAAAGATCCTCAAGACAGAGAAATATACGCTAAATGGAACAGAGAAGTTAAAAAAGACGTGGATAAGGCGAAAAATATAAACTGGGAGGCTAAGTGTGATGAACTGGACAGATTTATGGGTGGAACAAAAGTGGCGCAAGCTTGGAAAACATTAAAACAGTTTAGGAAAAATGAGAAAAATGAAGACAACATTTCTCTCATAAAGTTAAATGAATGGGAAGAATATTATACGAAACTGGTGAAAGAGGATAGAGTAGAGTACAGATGGGAAAAGATAAGGGAATTAATAGACAACAGAGACGAAAGACAGGAAATCCCTATAATAACATTATCTGAATTGACGGAAACCTTAAAAGAGGTTAAAAACGGAAAAGCCGCAGGGCCTGGAGACATTCCCATAGAGCTGGTTAAATATGGGCCGACTGCACTTTTAGAATTAATAGTAGACCTTTTTAATAAATGTATGTGTGGAGACCAGGAAATTTCTAAAGATTGGAATAAATCTTATATAAGCTCCATATATAAGAGAGGGAATAAAAGAGACTGTTCCAATTATAGAGGTATTAGTGTGACGAGCTCTGTGGGCCGGTTGTACGGCAGAATATTAAAGAAGAGGTTTGAAAGACAGATACAAGATATTGAAGAACAAAGCGGCTTTCGTACCGGGAGATCCTGCCTTGATAATATATTTATCCTACGACAAATAATTGAAAAGCGTGTCGAAAGAAGTAGAGAGACCCATTTGGTATTTATAGACCTTGAGAAAGCATATGATAGTGTCCCGTTAAAGAAAATGTTTGAGGTCCTCAAAAGGTCCGGATTGGATTCGACGTATATCCGAGCGATATATAAATTGTACGAAAATGCAGTTAGTTGTGTAAAAATTGGAACCAGAACCTCAAATGAATTTAAAGTCACTAAAGGCCTAAAGCAAGGATGCTGTTTGTCACCGACACTCTTTAAAATATACGTCCAAGAAGCATTGAGGAATTGGAGAAATAAATGTAGATTTATGGGCATCGAAGTGGGACAAGAAACTCTGTATACATTGCTGTTTGCAGATGATCAGGTGGTGGTTGCAACCGATGAGGAAGATATAAATTATATGAATCGAAAATTATTTGAGGAATATGCCAAATGGGGGCTTACTGTAAACATAAGCAAAACAGAATATTTAAAAATTGGAGGAAATACCACAGATCTGAGGCTTGAAAACGCAGTCATAAAAGGCTGTAACCAGTATAAATATCTAGGAAGCATCATATCAGCAGATGGCAGAGTTAAGATAGATGTACAAAACCGAATAACCCAAGGGAAAAAATGCATCCGAATACTGAATTCATTACTGTGGTCTAATAAAATAAAGATGCATACCAAACTTCGCGTATACAGAGCAATTGTAGAACCAATTACCACATATGGTGCCGAATGTTGGACGATGACAAAGAATGAACGAGATAAAGTAGACGTTGTGGAAATGGATTATCTTAGAAGGTCATGTCGAGTATCGAGAATGGAAAGAATCAGGAATGAGGAAATACGAAACCGTACAGGAATTAGAGATACTCTTTCTGATAGAATACAAGGAAGGCAATTACAATGGTATGGTCACGTGATGAGAATGGAGGAAGAGCGGTGGCCAAAGAAAGCCTTAATGTATGTTCCGCCAGAAAGAAGGAAAAGGGGAAGACCACCAAATTCCTGGAGAAGAGAAATTACAAAAGCAATGCAATCTAGAGGCTTAGAAGAGGGAGATTGGAGAGATAGGAAAAGATGGAGGCTGAAATGCGGGAAGCGGCAATCGCCGTAGGACCCCCGTTATATGATGATGATGATGAACAATCTAATTTACCTTTTGCATTGGGTGTCACTATAAGAGGCTAAAAGTGGGGACTGAGCAATTACTGGGCTGAAGATAAGGTAAGAAAATAAACTGAAACGTTTGCGACCGGCTATCCTTGTTTTGTTTTGGGAGAGATGGGGTCGCGTATAAGGGAGGCACTGTAAGAAGTAACTACAAACAAAGAAATCAAAAAATACTTAGAGATTTCCTGGGCAACAAACACAAGAAGGTTCCCAACCTATTTAAATTGGGCGCTGTTTAGAAAAATCCTATTGCTGGATAGAAAAAAAGGCTTTTCCTTCGCAAAAAACTTTAAAAGGTAAAAATCTTTTTAAAGGAAATAATTCCAAACTCCTGGTTTAAAGAGAAAGATGACATATTTTCTATTATTTTACATCAACAGTTATTACAAATAATATTAGAGAATTAACATGAATTTAATTTCGTTCTCAAAAACGCAAGTGAGCATAACTTGGCGGTCTTGTTCTTATTTTAATTTAGTTCTCTGGCATACGCTATCGTTAAACAAAAAACAAGGTAATACTTACAGGTGGTCTTGCCGCTTAAAAGCCTTTCCGCACATGTTGCAAATATATTTTCTTTCATCACTGTGAGTCAGTTTGTGTTTTGCCAAGGCAGAGGCGTTTCCAAATACTTTGGCACAGACCTAGAAAAAAATGCATTCATGTTAAAACAAAATGACAAAAACAATAACAATTATGCCACATTAGAGTGATTTATAATTCGTTACACTAAGATATTTTCACGCGCGACCTTATAATGTACTAGAGATACTTTTGTATAATATTCATCATAGGTTTGTTACTTTTAAAGCAAAGCTTAATATTTTGTTTCAATTATTTTAAAAAATAATAAAGAATCAGACTCCAAAAAATATGGTTCATTAAAATTACTTTAAAACATTTTCATAAACATTTTTTTTTATTTACAAATTCGCATCAACCCGAAGGTTATTAGCGAGAATTAAATTTACAATATTAAATATATTATATATTAACAAAATTGATACCTTTTAAGTAGTTTAAAATATTTGTGAATGAACAATTTGCACCAAGTGCTTTCTCTAAGTTTATTGAGATACCATAATTGATTCTTGCTGTGGAGAAAACTGGACAGTCTACAACAACATGTTTCGCCGAGAGTTTAACGTTACACTGCTCACATTTTGGTTCGAATTCTTTAGTAATTAAGAACTTGTGCGTGGCACTGGTATGACCTAATCTAAGACGAGTTATTGTCACTTGATCCCTTCTTTGAGTGGAGACACATCTCCATGGCTTAATGTCCGGTTTAATATAGATTGGACACTGAAAATTCCCACCGGTTTTGCCACTCACTTAGGATCCGCGATTTGATAACACTTGAAACATCACTAGCTATCACGTATTTCACAATAATAGAGTCAGCTGAATTGACGGCGTCACGCGCACACTTATCTGCTTCTTCATTACCTCTAATACCATTATGTGATGGGATCCAAATAAATATTACCTCCTTATTACAATTTTCTATCTCTATTAGATTTTGTTTTATTTTTTCAAGAATATGATTTTCTGGGTATATTTTTCCTATAGACTTTAGTGAGTTTAGTGAATTAGTCAAAATTATATATTTTTGATTTGGTGAAGATATAATATATGTGAGTGCCTCGTATATGGCATATAATTCTGCATTAAGAGTACTATAGTGTATTGGCAACTTATATTTTTTACACATATTAGAGGATATAGAGGAAAGGGATTCAGCACAAGTGACCATTTACTAAGTATGAAAATACTTATAGAACGAGCAAATGAATACCACATTCCTCTATATATGGCGTTCATAGATTTCGAAAAGGCTTTCGACAGTGTCGAACATTGGGCAGTGAAAAGTTCTTTGATTAACAGCCGAATTGACCACAGATATACGGAACTAATAACCAATATATATAAGGAAGCCAAAACAAAAATTAAAGTATATGAAGGAACAAAATCATTACAAAGAAGTAAAGGCGTGAGACAGGGTGATACAATATCACCGTAACTTTTCAATCATGCTCTTGAAGATACTTTTAAAATATTAGAATGGGAAAAAAAAAAGGTATAAAAATTTGTGGACAACGCTTGAACCATCTAAGGTACGCTGATGACATCGTATTGATAACCGATAAAAAAGATGAATTATTTGAAATGATGAAAGAACTGGACGTAGAAGCTGGAAAGATAGGCCTTAATATGAATTACAGCAAGACCAAAACTATAACAAATGCAGATGAAGACATCACAATGAGAATCGGACAAGATGAAATAGAACAAGTTAAGGATTATATATATCTTGGTCAAACTATAAAACTTAACAAAGAGAACCAAACAGCAGAGGTCAAGAGACGAGTTAGACTGGCATGGGCGGCATTTGGCAAACTAAGCTACATTCTTAAAAACAAAAGATATCCACAGCATCTTAAGACCAAAGTATATAATCAATGCGTACTCCCTGTTCTTACGTATGGCTCCCAAACGTGGACATTTACAAAAGCAAACATGGACAAAATCATAAAAACCCAAAGAGCAATGGAAAGACAAATGTTGCACATAAGACTAATGGATAAGAAGAGAAACGAGTGGATAAGAGAGAAAACAAAAGTGAGGGATGTTAGACAAGAAGTTGCAAAATTGAAATGGAGATTTGCCGGACACAATATAAGACAAAAAGAAGACCGATGGAACAAAATTCTTATAAGTTGGAGACCGTGGGAATATAAACGAAGCAGAGGAAGGCCCCAAATGAGATGGGCAGATGATATCAAGAAGCACGTGGGCTCTAGATGGATAACTGTTGCGACAGACAGAGAAGAATGGAAAAGGATTGGGGAGGCCTATGTCCAAAGATGGACCGAAGAAGGCTAATTAGATAGATAGATTAGAGGATATAACTGCTGCTCTCACGCCATCTGTTGATTTTGAAGCATCCTTATAAATTTGAGAGAAATGCAGATTTTGATGTATTATACTATAATTAGTAGTGTGTTTGTCCAATGATGTTTGGGTAGTTATTATTTTAGGTATTCCTAAAGCCCACGGTGCAGCAGGTTCAAAACTAACGGGAAAGCAAGGAAGTAAGGTGCATATAAACATTTAATTGTGTATATTTTATCTTTTTTTCTTTGTACCATGTCCATTACGAAACTGGCTATCATAATTTTATTCAACATAGCTCTAAAGACTAACGTCCGGTTCCACCAACGTGACTTAAGTGAAAATTTGATCTTAAGAAATAGTTTTTACTTAAGTCCGTTCATTTTCGTTCCACCAACTAAAAATATTTACTTAAGTATAAATATTTTTGCTTAAGCTCAAGTCAGCTACTAGGACGACTTAAGTAAAAATTTTAACTTGGAGCACATTCATCTGTCATATATTGACATATAAGTGAGGTTAAATTTAAATCTATTCTGTATATATTATGTTAATTTTCGCATTTAGTTGATATAATTTTTTAATTTTTATATTCCTATTTTTTATAAATTCTACCGTAATCTTTAATAAAACGTAGTATATAATAGTTGATAGTGTATATACAGTGTACATAGATATTTTAGTGTTGATAGGATTTTTTCTAAGTATATATTTTTTTTTAATTCCACGGAAGTGTATAGTTTATCGTGTATATAATAGAAAATAGTGTGTGATATTTGAAAAAATGGATCATTATCATTATCATCTAGCCATCATTATCATCATTATAAATTCTAAAATTTTACTATACTAAACATATTTTCATTTTATATTTCTCTTCTATTTTTTTTTGTGTATACTTTATTAACTTCTATGCAATTTCAATACTTTCATATTTTTAAACATAGAACAGTTATTGGCTTCAAATGTATTGTAAACAAATATATAAAAACTAATTATACTCCACAAAGATCATAGTATATAAATAGACTTCATACTTTACCTTAGTTATATGGACTCGTAAATTTTATTCCAATAAATAAATAAAAAAGATGACATCAACTACAATGTGTCAGTATATAACAGAAATAATAATATAATAAATAATGACTTTTTATTGAAATCTTATTAACTGATTAATGTTAACATTTTTTTTATTTCATTCTCTAGAGGTTTATTCTCGGACATAAGTTTTCTTTTTTGTTGAAGCATTATTTCCAATTCTACTTCTTTTTGTTTTATTTGTAGGGCTTGGAGTTTTGCTTGAAAGGCTCTCTATTCTTTCTTTATTTCCTTCTCTATTTCTGTCTACTATGAAACTCTACATGAGCACAATCCTCTATTTGATTTTCTTCTCTGAAAACAAAAAAAAAATAAATAATTTGAATTGTATTAAATACTGAAGATTACATACCTGTTACTACAAAAAGCTTTTATCCAGTGCAGATTCATCATCATACGGGTTGTTCAACCCAACGACTGTTTTGTTGTTTATGATTTCCAATACAGTCTCATCTGGTTCATTCTGAGACTCGTTCAAATTATTGTCACTACACTATTACTATAAATTACTATTTTTCAAAACTATCCCTAAATTTTAAATTATTATTTACCATTATTAACTAGGAACAGAATAAATTCGCAAAATACACAAGGATTACCATTAACAATAAATATAAATATTATAAAATATTGAAATGACATTAAAGACAGCATCAGAAATGACAAATGACACAAATTTTTCTTCTTTTTTGTTGTTTTTTTGTTAATAACGAGTCAACAGGTTAAGAATTTTTGACAACTTTGCGAAGTTGGTATCTTTGATAACTTAAGTTTTTTCTTGGTTAAGTTAAGTAAGAATTTGTATGGTGGAACGCAAATTTCAACGAAGAATTTTTTTTGACTAAGCAAAACTTACGTAAGATTTTACTTAGATCACGTTGGTGGAACCGGGCGTAATTGTTTATGAATACCATAACAAACCCAGACGGTATCACAGAGGTGTGGAAACAATATTGCGAAATACTATTCTCTAACAACAACCCAGACAATAATACAGAGGACAAAAGTTATGAAAAAAAAACTCAAATATTAAAATCAGAAATTCAGAAAAAGCTAAAATTCAGATCAGCAGAAGGAGAAGATGGAATAAAAGCTAAAACACTCAAACAAATGGGAGAATTAGGGACGAAAGTACCTAAATGACTAGAGAATCTCACATTTATTTCTATATATAGAAAAGGTTCACCGACAGATTGCAGTAATTACCATACAGTAGCATTAATATCACACGTGGTCAAAGTACTTCTAACCATCATCAATGAAAGACTAAAATCAATTCTCTTTCCACACATTTCCTAAGAACAATGCGCATTCATCCCAGATAAAGGAACAAGAGAACATATTCTTAATATTCGTCAAATTATCGAAAAATCTCGAGAGTTTAACATAGAAACATATTTATGCTTTGTTGACTATTCCATATTTAGAGAAATGGGTACGCCAGAACATGTAATCTATTTATTACAAAAACTATATGTAAAGAATACTAGAGGTTGTTAGTCGTTAAACAAAGTATCTGTGAGGACTTGTTGCTATCAGAATCCTAGGTTTATAATATGAAAAATTGCATATTTTGTATGCGGGTGATAAAAAACCTGATTTAATTTATTTTCGTTTACATATTTTTCAAATTAATGAACTTAATTATAATTTTAACCTGCATGGAAAACATAACGCGCGCGTAATTATTTGACTTTAATAATAACGGGGTGATTATTGTAATTACCCATGCACAGTCAGCCGGAAAACTGCGAACACTGTGACCGATATTCAGTTATCCGTTGGTTTTGTAGCTTGAAGCTAATAACAACACGGCCGTTGATAAACGGTCAGAGCAATAACCCCAACTTCAGCCCCAAGGTACCAGATTTAATTCTCTGCTGAGTAATCGATTCCCATTTTTCACGCATTGAGATTTGATATATTTGGTTATCCATTATATTTCGTGAGGTAACCAAACGACCCAAATTTCTTTCTAATTGTAAGTAATAAAACTGAGATAAGCTTAATTTGTTGTTTTAATGATGATTGATACTACACGCAACCATTATATATAATGATTCTAATATAGGGGGTAAAAAGACTAAACGAAAAGATGATAATGACTCGCAATGAAGACTTAAAGGAGTATATCAGCATTTAACGAATGATGCCAGAGGTGTTTGATGTTCTGTTGAGTCTTGTGATGCCAAAAATTCAACGACAACATACTATTATGAGAGAGACTTTACCAGCACTAGTAAAGTTGGAGATGACTTTAGATTTTGTGTCATCCGGCATTAGTTACAAAATACAGGGTCACAATTGAAAGAAAACATAAAGCTTAATACTAATAACTACTTTTTTTTATCTAAACATACCAAACCCACATCAACCACTAAGGGTTATTAGTGAGGGGACATACACAGTAGTCAGTTTGATAAATTAAAGTTTATTATAAATGTTTATGTCTTTTAGAAACTGCAATAAGTCCGAGATATTTGTCGTAAGCGCACTTCTCAGATTTCCACTAATTCCTTGGTATGTTCTCTGAGGTTGGAACTGCGGACAGTCGACTATCAGATGCTTCACGGTGAGTTGGGTAGAGCAGTAGGTACAAATCGGAGCTGGTGCTTTATTTAAAAGGTGTTGGTGTGTTAGTATTGTGTGGCCGATTCGAAGACAATTTACGATTACTTGATCTCTTCTTTTTCCTTTTTGTGGTAGGCTGGCGTCTACTCGAGGCTTTATTGTTTTCAACTTAGAGTCTGTCGCATCCCAGGTTGCTTGCCATAAATTTGTTATATGATTCATGGACTGTCATTTATGGTCGGTATGGGGATATTTAGTAATTTCTGAAACATTTTCATTTTTGATTGATTTTAATGTCAATTGATCAACTTCCTCGTTGCTTTTAATGCCAATGTGTGAAGGTATCCAGATAAATGTAACCTTTTTATTTATATGGTGTAGTGCATTAAGTTCATTTCTTATATTTTGTGCAATAGGATGGCTAGGGTGAAGTTGATTAATTCCATGAATTCATCATCATCATTGGCTTTTACAACTCTTCGTAAGTTTTTGCCGCGTTTACTATTGCCTTCCATTGATTCCGATCCTGTGCTATTATTTCCCATGGCCTTACTTCCATCTTCTCCAGGTCGTCCCTGACTGCGTCTTTCCGCCTTTTTCTAGGCCTTCCTGTCGACCTTCTACCATCTGGTCTTTCCCAAAACACATTGCTAATCAGTCTGTCGTCATCACTCTGTATCATGTGGCCTGCCTATCTTAATCTATTGGCTTTTATTTATCTTACGATGTTTCCTTTCCCGAAGAGAGTCTCTATTTCATTGTTGTATCTGCTCCTCCATTCATTTGTCAGGCTGTTCCTGCAAGGACCATATATAATTCGCAGGATTTTGCGTTCCCATACTAAGAGCTTATTGATTTTTTTCTTTCTCAATGTCCATGTTTCACTTCCATATGTCACTGCTGGTCGTATTATGGTTTTGTACATTTGGATTTTGGCATGCCTTAAAAAAGCTTTGACCTCACTAGATGTTGAATGGCAAATAATGATTTATTCCCCGCCAGTATTCGTATTTCAACCTCCCGTTCTCCTGTGTTTTCAGTGTTCCATGAATTGCGCTGAGTGAATTTGTGATGATTAACATATTATTTCCAGTCGTTGAAGAGGAGTTTTTGATAGCTTCTAATATCGCTGTGGTTTCCCCGGTGTAAATGCTGCAGTGCTGTGGAGTTCTAATGGCATATTTGTAATTTTTATTTTTGAAGGCTGCAGCATGGCCATTTTCAGTTTTTGATGCATCTGTGTATATTATGTGGTGATCTGGCTACTTTTCCATAATTTCTTTGAATGCATTAATGATAAGGTTAGGATTTGTGGTATTTTTTGGGTACTGTGTTAAAGTTAAATCGGTGATAGGTAAGGGGGTAAGCCAAGGAGGGAAGTCTAATTATGTGATTATGGATAATTTGAATTCATTGCAATTGAATCTTTTTTGAAGGTGCCACTTCTGAAATTTTTGTCTTGGAATTAAAGCTGACATTTTATTGCTTAATTTTGCAAGTAGTTTTTGCAGTTGACATCGCATACTCGTTACGTTATGGTTTATTACTTGTCGCAGATGTAATTGGTCGTGATGAACAATTTTCAGAATTTGAAACGTCTTGTTTGTTATCACTATTGTCATTTCAGCTGTTGTCAATATTATTTTCTTTGCTATATTGTATGTTGGCTTGGTTCATTGGGCTGTTATTATGCTCTTCATCGTTTGTTGATTCTTGACTGTCCTACTACAACAAAAAACTGTTGGGGCTTGTGGAATGACATCAGATGAAAGTGCATTTAAAAATTGCTCCATCTATAATAAACTGGAGAATATTCTTTTACCAAAGGGTAGAGTCCTTGTTGTGTATGCCTCGTTTATACTAAAAACCTGTATTATGAAACCTTACTCTGGTGACAATTTAATACTGGAACAAAAAGTTTACAACTACCGACTATTCAGAGCGAGAAGAATAGAGGAAAATAGGTACCTTTGGTATATTGGTAAGCCAATTTCGTGTATTTTAAAAATCAGTTACAACCGCTTTACATAATTGGTCGAGATAAGAAAATCAAAATTATTTAATCAGCAGTGATGTCGACAGGAAAATATTTATGCAGGAAACACCTCCCATGACTCTTGGAGAATAGAATCTGCAGGACTTGAAGGTTTATGTCAACAAGGGAGTAATCATTCTTGTGTGTGTGCTTGGGATATTGACTGCGAAACCTATGGTTTCGCAGTCAATATCCCAAAAAAAGTTCTTATTAAAGTATTCTTTAAAGTCTAAAACCTACTTTCCAATAAAAAATCACGACACTTCTACCATCTGACGGTCACAGATATAAATCAACTTTAAGATATTATCCTACAAAAAATATAGTTTATTTGAAATCTTCTCAGTAACATAGTCCCTTCTTTACTTTTTTATTTGAGATATGACAGTCTTCTTTCATTATAGGGATATAAACTTTAGCCTCTTTAAATGTAAGATCTTGGTAAATTTTCTCTTATATCGTGTCTAGATACTGGCTCATAGCTAAGCTATTATGTTGCCAGCTTAATATTGTTTGGATCTTTGTTGTATTTTATATGATTTGTGTGAGTCTGTGTGTTCTATTTTAGGTAGCTTTTGTCACGTAGTTTGTTTTGTTTTAAATGGTGACACTGGATGTATCTTTGGGCACTGGTGATGTTTCGGTGGTAGAGCTTTCGACGTCTCGTGGAGGAGGAGGTCGACTTTAGATGGTGATCAGGGGTAAAAGAGTTTGGTGTTAAAACGGTTCTTTTCGGATTTCTATTAATATTATAAATGTAATTAAATGTATATGTTTAAATGACCGACAGTTTTGTTATTTGCGTTAAGAGCAGCTATGTCTTTATCGTCCCTATGGACAGGTATAGTTGTGAAAATGGGATCGGAAACCGGCATGCGTATATATCTTGATTGACGTTTAGGTATTTTTGTTTCTTAACCTTGTATTTACACGGAAAATCCAATACTATGTACAATACAGAAAATATCACCCTTTATTGAGCATTTTAACAGAATATACTTATTTACTTTTTACCTTCAGTTTTTTTTTAAATATTGTTTTGGATTACTAAGGACCACAAAGATTTTACTCATCATTCTCATGACTATGTTTTCCTTCTTTGTAATAAAGTTTTCATTTAAATCAAAATCTCTCTTGCCTTTATTGTGACCATTTGCTAGCGGGTCGAGCAGCTGGGATAGTGAGGGAAATAAGGTTCTAAGTAGATTTCACCTTATCTTTTACCTTCTTATTCTGCCATATTTTTACTTTATTTATACTTTAGTTTACTATTAGATCTAATATTAACAGAACACTGCTTGATTCTGTTGTCAATATTATTCGCATGTCTCACGAGTATAGCAGATTGCAAACACGTAGAATATTTAACTAAAACATGTATTTACATTTAAGTACATCTGGAAACTATAATAAAGATAAATTTAACAATACCTAGATCTTAGTAGTTTCCAGCCTTATATTTAACTTCAAAGTTGCCATCGGGTTTATTGTGCAGTCTTGAATATAGCTTAACTTAAAAGAAGTATAAATGCAAAGTAATACATTTTAGTTTACCCATTCATATACCGGCATATATTTCTACAATTATTATTGTTGTTGCTGTGTTAAACCAATATACTTTATTAATAATTTTTCTTTGTTTCGTTTCTTTCAAGTAAAACTGTCAACATTTCGTGCCAACAACTCATAAATGTATAAAAGGATTCCAACGATTATAGAATATAAAATAGCCCAAATAACTATATAAGCAAAGAGGATGGACGAAATTTTCTGGCCAAATATATGATCTTTATTTACCTACTTTATCTTGCCAAAGAAATTTATAAGCGTTTGTTACTAAAAATCATCTAGTCCATTTAACTTGATGCATAACTTTTTAATTTTGCTTAAATCAATCTAAACATAAATGTAAGTGATATATTTGTAAATGTAAAATTTGACAGTGACAAACTGTTATGTTATGTTATTATATTGTAGTGTGTATTTTTAATTTAACATATTCTAATCATATTTGACATATTCATCAATATTTAACCTTATTCGCTGATGATTTTGTTGAAACTTGGCACAAAAATTTAAAATTTTTAATACTGGTTATTTGAATTAATTTAAGATTTATGACGTTTATTCAAAGTCGGAAAATTTTTGTATTAAAAAAAAACACTGTGAGATAACGTAAAAAGACTGAGTTAGAGAAAAAATAAATATTTAGAACAATGATAATATTTATTTAATGACATATCATACGTAATGTATTCTGTGGTACTTCACAACACTGTCACAGAATAATAAACAATCAGAATGCCCACTATCATATGCCACCTTTGAAGTTTTGCAGCACGCGCGCCATGTTTTAGAAGGAAACACATAACACAGACATATGATTTGTGAGGTTATGTAATTGTTTATATTTATGTTTTATTATATTATATTTATGTTCTTATATTTAACAATGTTAATATAATAGTATAGTATGTCTATGATTGCCGTAAGTCGATTAAACCGGGTTAATTTTTCTATGAACACTACATAAACAACACTGGTTCCCTCTAAAACATGGCGGGACGTCTGCGCGAACGAGATGCGCGTACTTAATCTTCCATGGAGAGTGGGCATTCTGATTGTTTATTATTCTGTGACACTGTTGTCAATATTGAACAAACATAAATGAACTTTATATTTGAAGCAAAATATACGAGATTTTCCCTTGCGCCCGGGTTTCTTGCAACGCGAAACATTTTCCGATTTATCAAGAGTATGAAAATATTACTTCCTTTAATGGTCATACTTTAAAGATTTTTCTTTCAGATGTTTTTGGTTCAGGCATTATTCTTTTTGATTCTTTTGTCTGATATTTGTAAATTTGTAGATTGCATTCTATATTCTAGCCAGCATTCCCACAGGCTAAATCTATACTATTCCTACTTCCCATTGACAAATTGTAATTCTGTATTACCTGTGGCCTATTAATTTCTGTATAAGACTTGTTTGTTTGTCCCAACGTTTACATTTGTCGATCATCCCAATTCGTATATAATTTATTGCCATTATTTCAAGATTGTTATTAAACCACTTTATTATAATTAGCTCCTCGTCGATGCTAGTTATTTCTTCTGAAGTACCACGTACCATGTTTTTGCAATATTTTATTGGTAAAAAAACTAAAGTTGCTGAATATAGTTTGCCGTACAAAGGCAAAGATATTTTTTGGTGCAGAATTTGTAAGAACTAATAACTAAAGAAATAATTATTAAAATAGACTGTGTAATTATTCTATGTGATACGATCACACAGCTTCAAAACGGCAGTCATGCCTTTGCAACCAAAGACTGTCATTTATGTTTGATCTGATTCCATTTCAACTCCCTGATAAATTATAAAATCAAACATCTGCCTACTTACACCGCAGATTGCAAATATTTTTATACCCCATGAATTTGGTTTGTTTTTTTATATATGGCTTTACATTAGTGATCTTTTCATCATCATCATCATCATCAATTAGCCCATATTTGTTCACTCCTGAAAGTAGGCCTTCCGTAAAATTTTCCACCTATTTCTATTTTGAGCTTTTTGCATCTAGTTGGTGGTGATGCTCTTGATATCATCCGTCCATCTAGTCGGTGGTTGTCCTCTGCTTCGATATGCATCTTGCCTTGGTCGACATTCCAGAATCTGTCTGGTCCATCTATCATCCGTTAATCTGGCAACATGTCTGGCCCAAGCCCACTTAGCCATATCTGTTTTTTTAACTGCGTCTGTGACTCCCTGTTCTTCTTTATTTTCTAGGTTTGGTACTTCATCTCTGATGGTAATACCTAATATTGATCTTTCCATAGCGCGTTGTGTATCTCTTATTTTATCTATTGTTCTTTGTCAGAGTCAGTGTTTCTGCTTCATATGTAAGAACCGGTAAAACTCACTGGTTAAAAACCTTTCTTTTTAGACAAACGGTGATACTAGACTTGAAAATGTTATTCAATCTACCAAAGGCAGCCCATGTGAGACCTATCCATGTATTTCAGTTGTCTGTTTATCTCGGCCTAAGTGAATCTCATGGCCTAGATATTTGTAAGCTATTACTTGGTCGATGCTATGGCTCTCAATAAGAATTTTACCGCTGACTACAAGGTTGGTCATAAATTTTGTCTTTGAGGTGTTAATTTTAAGACCAATTGTTTTTGAAACTTTATAGAGCATGTGCAGTGCTCTTTTAAACGGCATTATTTGATTATCAATTAACGGGTATTATTATTATCAATTAATAATGTACGGGCGCGTATTATTTCGTACAAACGACGAAGTTTCCAAAACCTGTCCTAATGCTTAACATCATCCATTGTATTCAAAAAATGTAAAATTTGCCTCAAGGAGTAAAATCTATTTAAAAACTTACTCTCAGTAATTTTGGGCACTCGTAATTTTGCATCTTAATAAAATTGGATTATAGGATAATGTAAATTTCCCATCAGTGTACGTATACCAACGAAAATGTTCCCTTCCTCTACAATCGTTGGGGAAAATCGTTCTGTACAGCATATATAAATTTGCAAACTCTGTCATAAGTTCAAATAAATCTTCTGTAAAGTACCTACTTAAGATAGCATAAGGGCTCTCCATTTCTACAACTGGTATTACATATTTTACAAACCACTGGAGGGGTGGAGTGAGATGTCTCACTTTGGTATGCCATTTGATATGAACCTTAGGGGTAAGGTGGTTATTTATAAAGTAATCATAAATCCTGATCTTACCTTCAGAAAATGCCCAAGAAGTGCTTGGTGCTGGTGTGACCACAGGGTCCACTTTTACTGCGATTATACATATATGGAAATTGTTTATGAAAAGTTTTAAAGCAAATCACTTGTAGATGCACATTGCATTTGATACACAAGTATGCTTTTCTGCTTTTTTACATTTTTTTAGTTGTATAAGGCCCGGGTTTAGTTGGACAATATTTATATTTTGAAAGAAGTTGTAAATAGATGGAAAGAAGCTTACATAATATAGCGTTGTAAACTAATCGCTAGCGATGTTCTTATAAAAGAAATTAGATAGATCCAGCGAAGAAGTCAAAATGCGTTTTTTAAATAAAGCTTCTGTTAATTCATTTCATGAAATTTGACACAGTTTCAGAATTAACAGTTTTAGTGAAACAGTTTTTTTTAATATTTACTATTATCAGTAGATTTTTTGCTCTATTGATCTCGAAATAGCACTCGCTACTGGCTAGTACACACCAAAGGTAAAATATTAGTCTGTTTGCAGTTATAATTAATGCCTTACAATATTTTTATACCAAAATCGACACTTGTAAAAGCCATATCTTAATAAATTTGAAAAATAAAATGCCAAAAATATGTTATTATTTTCGATATAGTATGTCAGTATATGCAAATATATCATTTTCTTTAAAAATAAAGTATACCGACAAATAAATGTCTAAGTAGCTTCGTATAAACGTAGAGGAATGTAGAATTTACTTGTACAGTGAAGCTAGTGTAAAGACATTGGCCATTAGATGAATTCGCCATGAAACAACACTGTTAGCGGGGGGCTTTTACAGCGTTATTAAATTGTTTGTTCTCGTTCGTGAGAGGTATTATTGCGGTAGTTCGTACGAACATATTGCTTTTCTATTGTTTTGATGACCGTTCTACTTCCCGACAGAGGAGCAAACGGATTTTCTTAAATAAGAAAAAATGTGTAATGTTCTTCTGTATAAAAAAAGTTATGAGTGATATATAATGGTTTGAAATTTAAAATTTTGGTGTTTCATAATTATTATTTCGATCGTATGAAAATTATCTTTGATTTGTTTCTTCATTTGATTGATATTATCTACAAGATTCTTCTGGATTTTTAAGACACCGGCATTCTTATAAATGCAATAAAATAAAAAACACAATTCAGAAATTGACGTGACTTCATTTCACGTCATCAAGCGACGAATGTGAAACAGCATCTATTGTTACTATGAACGGAACACATAGAAGTGAACTACAAGTGCTTCAGCAGCATCAAAAACTCGCATACAGAACATTTTTACATACCTTCCTGGTTTTCGTAGACTTGACTTAAAAACAAAACCATCCTATCCACTTAAATCCTGGTAACTTCTTATAACTCCTGAAATGTTGGCCTCTGTTCTAAATTACACAAATGGAAAAATGACCAAGCTTAGCGTGAAGTATGGGGATACCTGTACATTTGTTAATCATCTAAACGAAGGTTTAGATGAACAAAAAAGCCTTAGGAACCTAGGGCTCTTTTGGATCTTTTATACCTTTCAGGTGTTCTAAACTCTAATCATGAAAATGTAGATTCATTATTTTCGACAAGTGCTTTACGTAGGCCAACAATGTAGGCTACAATGTCAAAAAAAACGCTTCTTATTTCTTCTCACAGCAATAAAATTTGACAATTATAAAATAAGAAAGCAAAAGAAGGCCGATGAAGAAACTACACCCGTTTAGAATACGTTACAGTGGACGAGATGCTGGTGGGGTTTAGAAGTATATGCCCTTTCAGAATGTACATAAAAGCCAAACCAATCAAGTACAGCATCAAAATTATGTGTTTATGTGATGCAAGAACACATTATTTGGTAAAGGCTTTGGATCTACATGATAAACAAATAATCCTTAGCACCAAAAGCTATCCATTCATAAAAAATCAGTACTTGCTTTGTGAATCCAATTATCAATGGTAACCAAAATGTCACTGGTGATAATTGGTTTACAAAATGGTTACATTGTTAATAGTTACACACAAGTTAATAGTTACCTGACATTGCTGAGGACCCTGGCGATTTGGTGATGTAGGCTTAGGTCTAGCACGTTTAGCCGAAGATTTTCCTGATTCCGAAGAACTGGGAGATTTTTTATCATCTGTAGTAGTTGTTGATACTGAAACGAACAAAACAGTGGTTATCTTTTATAGTAAGC